CGATGGGGAAGAGGGAGGAGGATGGGCTGCAGGTGGGGGCTTTCCAGGAGAAAGGGGCCTGGGGCAGGGTGGCAGGGTCCCACCCCAGCCTCCTGCAGGGAGAGGGGCACACACAGCACCCGGAGGCAGGAGAGTGAAGATGAGACCTTGATGTGCAGGGTTACCCCGGCTGGGAACTCTGCCTGCAGTGCACAGAAGAGGCAGGTCGAGGGCTAATTCTGCTTATCATTTCCAAAGAGCCGCCTTCAGATAAGAAGCTTAACCAGAAGGATTATCTGGGCAGCATGATCTTCCCCATCCTAGAACTGCTGCGGAAGACAAGATCCGCAAAACCTGGCAATGCTGGGACCTGAGGCTTTCCCTGGGCAGAAGATGGTCCCAACCACCCTACCGGAGGCAGCCCAGCGAGGGGGTCTCCGTGGCAAAGCCCCATCCTGGGGGAGGCAGGCTGGGAGCATCCCTGCAGCCGTGCTGCTGCACGCTGTCCCCTGCCACGGCGGGACCCCAGGGCAGAGGCAGGTACACCCACCGAAAAGCAGAGCCAGCAAAGGGAATCAGAGGAATACACCTGGATAAAAAAGCAAAGTAAAACCAGACCAAAGCTCAGGAATCCCGTAACGAAGAGGACCAGGAGCAGATGAGCTCTGGCAGGGCAGGTCAGATGCTCCTGCGCTGGCTGGCAGTGGAGAGAGGTGTCGAGGCCAGCAGAGTGACCAGGACCCAGGAGGGACAAAACCGACCCGAGAGACACGTGCACGGGACTGCTCCGTGCGGGCAGCAGAGGGGATGACCCCCGGTTGGGCTCAGGAGCCCGGCCCGCGTCTCCTGGGGTCGGCTGGTCCCAGTGGCCGCTCTCAGCTGGGCTGCCTGCAGAGGCAGAGGAGCCCTGGCAGAGCCCCGGTCTTTGCAGAAAATATAGTTTATTTTGATGCCCTGGAAATGCCTTTGTCAGCAGATCTATTCTTTCATTGTGAAAAAGCCTATTAGTTTCTGCTTTCTACTTCTATTGGAATTTATTCCTCCATCAGATCTTCAATATAAAAGTGCTTCCCTTACGGAGATTGATACCGCGTGTATGAAAAGCTCCGTGTGCCTCTGGGTGAGGCAGCCCCTTCCCTGAGGAAGGATGAAGTATGGCTTTGAGAGCACAGCACTGAACAGCTCGAGAAAATGAAATCTCAATTCCAAGGTCTGCGGTGACATCCCTGTGACCTTGGGCTGTCACCGGGGTCCCCGTGCAGCACAGGACGTGCTGAGCTTCCAGCAAGGAGAGCAGTCCCTGGGCATTGCCGAAACCTCACCGCACGCGTGCCCTGCGCACACCCGGAGCAGGGGAACGTCCCCCGGCAAGGGGCGAGTGCCCTGCTCAAGCTTTACGACCCCATTCCCTGCTGCTCAGCAGGCCCAAGAGCGAGGACAAATCTGGGGGTCAAACGCTCAGCTTTGGGGGCCATCGCTGCCCTGCGCAGGCTCCCAGCCACCGCCGGAGGGGAACGACGGGTGGCTCTGCTCGGCCACGGGCTGAGCTCGGCAGCAGAGCAGGGCTCCGGGTAGGGCTCTGCACAGCGGTGACACAATCTTCAAATTCAATTGAAGCCAAGTAAAATTCAAGCCCCTTCCCTCTGCTCGCCTGTTAATGGGGAGGCAATGCCGCTCACGGTGTTCGGCGCAGGTTTTGGCCATTTGCTTGCCACACAGATAGCGCCAACGCGTGCAACGCCTCCTGAAGCGCCCACAAGTCCCTCTGGACACACCGGGCTGCCCGTGACGGCTCCAGCATCAACAAACGAACAACGC